GGGGGGGTGGGTAATAGCTCAGTGTTAGAACACATGCTTAGCATGCATGAGGTCCTGGGTTCAATCCCCAGTATCTCCATTTTAAAAAAAAAGTTAGAATTTGGACCTTCATGAAAATAGCTGTGGGTACTTAGATGACTCCATGGACCATAGGGTTCTCAAAGCACAGGTCGAACAGCAGCCAGCATATAGTAGATTCTCAATAAAAATTTGTTGAATGAATGAAAGAATGACTCTTGTTATGGACTGAATGTGTGTCTCCCCTCCTAAATCCATATGTTGAAATTCTAACCCTCAGTGTGAATATATTAAGAGATGGGGCCTTTGAAAGGAGATTAGGTCTTGAAAGTGGTACCCTCATGATGAGATTAGTGCCCTCATGAAACGGACCCCAGAGAGCTGTCTTGCCCTCTTTCTACCATGCGAGGACTCAGCCAGAGCCAGCAGTCTGCAGCCCATCAGAACCCAACCATGCTGGCACCTCGATACTAGATTTCCAGCCTCCAGAAGTGTAGAATTAAAATATGTTCTTTATAAGCTGCCCAGTCCATGGTCATTTGTTATAGCAACTCAAGTGGACTAAGACAAACATGTACAGACTTCAGAGGTGGGGAGCTCAGATGTTCTTTAATGTCCAACGCTGCATTTGTGTGTCTGAGGGATGTACATATGGGTGTCTTTTGTGTCTGTCTCAGCCTATCAACAGCCAACGTTGTGGACGGGCCCTAGTGGTTCTTATTATAATTGCAAGGCACCCTTCAGCAATAAACACCAGGAAACTTTGAAAAAATAAAGGTTAATACCTTGTAGGACCTGGAAATTATATGGCAAACCTAGGGCCATGAGGTCACAGGATGGGTAGGGAGGGCTGAGTTTCTGCTTTTACTGAGGTTGAGGGTGTGGGCCTAGTGCTTCACAGGCCCACCTTTTATAAGTAAATTTTTCCCCATTTTTTAATTGATATACAGGTGATTGCATTAGTTTCTGGTGTACAGCACAGTGATTCAGTTTTATATATATAATATTCTTTTTCATTGTAGGTTACTGAGAGCCATTGAATACAGTTCCCTGTGCTATACAGTAGGACCTTGATGTTTATCTATCCTGTACATAGTAGTTTGTATCTGCCAATCCCAAACTCCCAATTTATCCCTCCCTCCCCCTTCCCCACCTAATAACTGTAAGTTTGTTTTCTATGTCTGTGAGTCTCTTTCTATTTCGTAAATAAGTTCATTTGTGCCATTTTTTTAAGATTCCACATAAAAGTGATATCATATGATATTTGCGTTTCTTTGTCTAATTTACTTCACTTAGTATGATCATCTCTAGGTCCATCCATGTTGCTGCAAATAACATTATTTCATCCATTTTTATGGCTGAGTAGTATCCCATTATATGTATATACTGAATCTTCTTTATCCACTCATCTGTCAACGGACACAGGTTGCTTCCATGTCTTGGCTATTGTAAATAGTGCTGCTGTGAGCATTTGGGGTGCATGAATCTTTTCAAATTGGAGTTTTCTCCAGATATATGCCCAGGAGTGGATTGCTAGATCATATGGTAGCTCTTTCTTCAGTCTTTTAAGAAACCTCCATGGTGTTCTCCATAGTGGCTGCATTATTGGTAAATTTAAAACATAAGAGCAGGAATTTGAAGCACGAAAAGAGAAAAAAAAGAAGTGACCCAAATAGTCAGTAGTCAAATCAAATAGTCAAATAGTCAAAATCATCCAAGATCTCAAAAACAAAGGTGCCTCTGTAGGGGGAAGCCACCTGGTTCTTTGTCTAGCCCTGTGGCTAGCGATGAGTTTACTCGAGATAGCCATCTTTGAAGTGGTTACCTTGGAGATCAAAACTTAAATCAGGAATATGCATTATCAGAAAGAAAAAAAGTTGGCAGGATTTACATTACAGGGTGGGTGTGGTATGTGTGAGAGTATGTGTTTTATATATGTTTTATAGAGAGGGAGGTATATTGTAAATGGGGGGTGGTGTTTGTTTTTCCTTTGATAATTTTGTTCATCATGACTGAACACAAGTTCAGTTCAAACAAAGGCTGTAAATACAAAGAAAACACAGATACATTAAGAAAGCATTCCAAGACAAGTTGGCATTGTGGCTAATGAAAATTTCTCACATGCATTCATTCTGTCCCAATCTAGAGTGAGACTTGGATCTTGGAGACCTCTTTAGAAGCCATTTGGCCAAACCGTCTCTGATTCTTCAGACGAAGAAATGAAAGTTATACGATTTATTGAAAGCTATATAGTCGTTTAAGTGATGGACTTTGGAGAGAACAGATCTTTTAAACTCCAGTCCAGTGAATTTCACTTACAACATATTACCATTTCTGGGGAAAAAATACTATTTTTGTTTGAGAGTCCATAGAATACATTTTAAAACAAATCAGCTGATCTGGGGATACACCTTTTAAATCTTGATAATAATAATCAAATTTTTCTTTTAGGAAGAAAAGTCCTCATCCCCCAGTTAAGGATAATTATGGAAACATGGGGTTTTCACTGTACAGAAGAAGACCCTGACATCAGCTTCAGGCCAGCAAAAAATGTTTTAAAACTAAAAATGGTGATGTGTATCAGGGAGATGATCTTGTAAAGAGGAATGAATCTGCTGCAGGGGAGAAAAAAAAAGCAAAGAACTTGTCCGACAGGCTTTAGAGAGAGGGCCAGTCCTCTCTGATGTCTAGAAGATAGCACAAATCACAAAGAAAAGAGATAGGGCCAGTGCAAAGAGCAGCATCGTTGTTCAAAGCTGTGGAAAGAATCTTCAGGGACTGCGCAGTAAGGCTAAAAAGACTGAACACTGAGCATTTACTCACAAGATGCAGGGTAGTGTGGAACAGTGTAGCAACACTGGAATCAGAAAGATGTAAATTCAGTTCCTGCCTCTGCCACTATCTTAGTCCCTTTTCCTGTAAAATGAGAATAATAATAACAGCACAGAGGTTTGCCTGATATATGTTTTGGTGCAAGTAAAGGTCCTAGTGCATTGTCCATGTCCAGTAAATGGTAGCTTTAGTTAGAGTGAGGCACTGTAGGAGACGACATTCCAAGGAGGAGCTTCTAAATTTGATAGTCAGCCCTCCTGAGTCCCTGGATCCTAACTTTGACTTTGCCACCTACATACTCAGAATTATAAATTCTTTCTAACATGCCAAACAACTTCCCACCTACCCTGACTCATATCAATCAGTTCTGGTTCTCCATGTCCTATCCCCCTAACACTCGATGTTAAGTATGTGGGCTTCAGAGAAGTTGACAAAACACTTTAAAAGGTACATGTGTCTTTGCATGCTTTGAATCTTCAGACTTACAAACCCCTTTATTTTTAGAATTGATACATTTAGTACTGATAAAATCCCCAGTTAAGTATGACTACCGATAAGATAAACATCATTACTCTGCCCCATAAAACTTTTAAACTTTGAACAAGTTCAGGCCACTCCCTTTTTTGTGAACAGACCATCAAGACGTGATGAGCATATAACCACAACATTCTGTCAGAGAGCTTGTTGGAGGAAAAATATCAGCACTTCAAATTATTTATCACATAACTGATGAGAAAACATTTTTGAACTAATCTTAAATAGATATTCTGCGCTTTACATCTAGGTGATGAATTAAAAGTTGTTGAGATTTCCCCTTGTGACCCAGTAGGTGATCTGTTTTTCACATTCACACATATTTGAAAATAATGTAATATCTCTGCTTGTTTCTTTGGTTTCTACCCTACCTTTCTGGGATTCTTGTTAAATATAGATACTGACATTTAATTTCTTTCCTCCATAACTTTTAACTTGTCTTCCACATTATTCCAACTCCTTCTTGATGATTTCTGGAGAGTTCCTCAATCTGATCATTCAGTTTACTAATCTGATTTTTGTATACATTCTACTCTTGCACTCAACTATTATTTATTTCAGTTATTATATATTTTAGGCCAAGAATCTTCAACTAGTTCTCCCTTTTGACCGCTCGTTTCTGCCTTACAATCAGGCAATCAGTATCTCTTCTTTCTCTCTCTAATAGTATTTATTATGCTTAATTCTAATTCTTGCTGTATGTGGCCCATTCCTTTTTTCCTTTTTTATATAGTGACTGCAATTCTTCAGTGGTCCCATTAATTTTTCATGTGAGGTCATATGTCCTGGGATTACCAGCTGTCAATGACAATGTCTTCCTAGGAGAATAGGTCAAATTCCAAGCCAGCTTGTGCCCTTGGTAGTGAATTTACAGAGATTCATAGACAGGTTCTTTAGTGCTAAGAGCCTGTTTTGATGTGTCCTCAACAGCCAATTCTGTTACTCACATACCTAATCCTGAGTGACTTTTCTGTACCTCCACCCAAGCACGGCTTCCCCCAGAGCTGTCAACCTCTTGTGATCTAGTCATCTGAACCAGAGGTGCTCAACCAGAGGAGGGATTTGGAAATACATGAGGGAAATTTGGGAGTTGCTCTAATGACACTCAGGGCACTCAGGGCAAGGGGCTGTGGATAACAAGCATGCTATAAAGCATAGAAAAATCCCACATGATGAAGTAATGTCCCAAACAAAATGACAGCAGTGCCCCCAGGGGCAATGATGGGGGAGAGGCTAAAGTTTAGGACTTGGTTATTTATTTGCACAAGTAGGTTTCTCCTCTCTACCGCCAGGGTCTTCTAGTGGTGCCAGATGCTACCATAGTGCCTGCCGTTAGGAGCTGGAAGATGCTCCTGTTTCCCCACCCTACAGTAGCAAGGGGGCAACCAGGGTTCTAACCAGGGCATTGTAAGGAGATTGACAGGACTCGGAATGCTCGTTTCAGACTTTATCCTGTCCATGGCTTCCTGCCCTGGGTTGGCTCCCTCTTCCTAAACCCTCACCTCCATCAGGCATATCAGAACCCAATCATCTTGGACTTCCTAGGGATTTCTCACAGTTTTTAAATGTAATTTAATTTTCATATATATTTTTTATTGAAGTATATTCAGTTCACAAAAAATAGAGAATCCTTCACAAATTTGTGTGTCATCCTTGCACAGGGGCCATGTTAATCTTCTCTGTATCATTCTAATTTTAGTATCTGTGCTGCCCAAGTGAGCACTCTCACAGTTTTTATTAATACCTGAACGACTCCACCTCTTCTCACTCCTGTGGCGCCTCCAGGATTGGCTCAAGTGAGGGAATCAGCATCCCCTGTTAGTATCCTATCTTGCCACCTTACGGGAACACTGATTATTGACAATATATGGGGGAAAGGGGGACATGGAAAGCTAATTTTGAAAAATCAGAGCAACCAAAGGAAATTTACCCCAGCAGATAAGTAGATATACAAAGCTGCATGTTTAAAAAAGGAAAATAAAACAAAAAAAAGTGTAACACTTAAAGATAAAAAATAGACCAATGAGGATGAAGAGCCCAGAAATATACCAGGTATAGATGGCAACATGAAATGACAGAAGTGCCAGCAGCCATCTATGTGGACATGATGGACTATCTGGTAATTTATTTAGTAGATAATATGGGGGAAAATGAATCCTTTCATGGAGAGAGAGATTATTTTCTCCACTTGAGAAAGGCTTTTAGCTTTTTATTTTGAAATAATTTTAGGGCTACAGAAAAGTTTCAGAAATAGCACAGAGATTTCTCATATACCTTTCAGCCAGCTTCACTGGATGATAATACCTGTTGTAACCACTGTACAATGCTCACAATGCAGGAAGTTAGCATTGGTATATTAGGGGCTTGTAACCAAACTACAGAGTTTGAGTTTAATCAGCATTTCCACAAATGCCCTTTTCTGTTTCAGAACCCAGTTCAAGGACCCCACATCGCCTTTAGCCATCACGTCTCCTTCATCTCATCCAGTCTCTGAGAGCTGCTTTAGTCTTGCATTTTCATGATCATGCTACTTTTGACGAGTATTAGTGAGTTATTGTCCTCACTAATCTTGTCCTATGCAGTCTTTTCTTATAATTAGATTAGGGTCATGCATTTTTGGCAAGAATACCACGGAAGTGCATGCCCTCCTCTGCACAACATCACGAAAAGAGATGTATCTTATTGCTGCTGATAATAACCTTGACCACGTGGGTAAGCTGGTGCCTGCTGATTTTCTCCACTGTAAAGTTACTATTGTTCACTTTGAAATGAACAAACGCATTGGTGGAAGGATATCCTGGTTCCTTCTCAAACTTTCACCCAGGGATTTTGGGATTCACCAGCAGATCTTGAGTATTACAATTATTCCTGCAGGTTGTAATGCAGAGAAGCGATGTACCTTGACAGTGGGTCTATTTACATTAAGAAATGGAATCTGAGATGTCTGTATTTAAGTTGCTCCACTTCCTTCACATTTTTTAATAAGAAAAAACTAGGCATACACTTGCTTTACAATCATATAACTAAAAGGGTCATGGGTAGTGGAAGAGTTCCGGCCACCCCTGAAGGGCAAGACTGATTTCAGATTTTTAACGTAAGTTTCTCCTCATCTATCTGGGAAGTAAAGTCTTACCCAGGCAAACCTGTTACTCAACATTTGGTCAAAAATTGACTAGATGGCAGATGTCCACTGTCTCCTGTTCGGGCTGTGCAAATCCAACAAAATTGTTCAGGAAACAAAACACGTAACTGTTGGAAACAAACATACTCATTTACTTAAGCCCGACAATCTCTGGACACTAAAGTATCAAAGTCAAGGGCTTTTGAGAAAGAGGCTCACGGCTTTCCTGTGTTTTATTTTTCATTATGGAAAACATGCTGTTTTCTGCCACCAGTGAATAAAATAAAATGGAATGACTTGTGTTTGCAGTATGTGTAGCTTGTTTCATGTAATGTTAACATTTTTCTCACATTTTAGAATTGAATCCTACCTAAGAATTTTGAGGGTGAGATAAAAGTCTTCCTCCCAGACCCCCAACGGGCCCCAGTGCCTC